TAAATGGATCTATGAAACAATCAGTTTATTATAATCCAAATCTCACCATATTGATGAGGTTGTGGACTATTCAGAATTACTATTTGTAAGGAAATTCTTTCTCAGCGCATTTTTTTTAGTTCTTTCATTTTAGATATCGGAAAAACTAGTCAAAATATATTTCTCTTTATCTTTTAAATTGTCAACTCTGATTCATTGATTTTATCGTTAACAAAATCTTATTGAGATTTTACTATAGGTTTTATTTTTAATTAATGACTGGAAAAATTGTAGCTTTAAAAATATCACTTTAAAAAAATAAAATCATATTTTATAAAAGATACCCATCACATATAGAGGTGGAACGTGGCTATGATATCCGGATCCATACAAAAATAAAATTAACTAAAATTAAAGAAAATATTATGAAAACAACTAAATTATATTATAAGATTTTGAAAATAAAATCTGAGATATTATCAAAATAATATTTACAATTAATATTTACTATTATATATATCATCTATTAATTGAAAAAAAATTAAAAGGTGTATATATATATATCTATATATTTAAAATCAAGATATTTTGATCTTATCAATTTAAATTTGTTTTAGATTATGATTCGGTCATTTCATATTATATATTGATATTATTAACAAAATATTAATAAAACAACGTTATCTTTTTTTTTTTGCAACATGGTTAAGAGGGAATCTCCAACTCCATTCTATTTTTTCTTTAAACTCTATTATAGAGTAGCATTCTCTTCAACGCTACTTTCAGAGCCGGCCATGAATACAAGCCAGCAAAGCTGGTGCTTGCGGCCGCCATAAATTTATATACTAAATCGGCCCTTTTTCCGTGAAAGTCCCTTAGTTCAGCTGGAAACATACCAGCAATTCCTCAATCTGGTCGCTAGTTCGATCCTCAACAGAAGAGAATTTTTTTTTTTTTTTTCAAAGGTAATATCAGCCAAATTTTTTTTTTTTTTTTGCTTGTAGCCACCTAAACTTCAGGGACGGCTCTGGCTACTTTATATATATATATATATATATATATATATATAGTAAATGACAAGATTAATCTTTATTTAGAGTAACTCTACTTTTTACACTAAATCTATTTTAGAGTAAGAAATAAAGTGAAGCATTGGAAAGAAACCCTATCCTATTTTAAGATTAAAAATAGAAAAATATATTAGACATAGTTTATTAAAATTGAACATTATACCGATACTTAGACCATCTCCAACTTATTATTCTTTTTTTCTCTATAATAGAACAACTCCTATTTTGGAGTTAAGTTTTTCTCCCCTAACTCTAAAATAGATTAAAAGACTAGAAAACTCCAAATATAAAGAAAAATTTAGAGATTTCTATTTTGGAATTGAAAATAGAGTATGACTGAAACTGTAGTTTACTAATTAGATTTTCTATATACATTTTGCTGAGATTTGACTTTTCCTTTTATATTCAGACAAGAGAAAGATCGAAGATGATATGGTCTGAGAATTCAAAGAAGCATAAGAAATCTGAGAATAATGCTAAGATGTTTAGGTTTATGAGTAATGAATAGATGTCCTTATTCTCATAACACTACAAGAAAACACATTGATTTCTGATGGAATTTCTGACAGACATCAATCCGTCGGAATTTTCCAACGAAAAACCGACCGATTAACGATGGAATTTGAATCGTCGTAATCCGACGGATTATATTTCGTCGGAAAAATGGGAGGAATTTCCGACGGATTACTAACGGAATATATCCATTAGTAATATACGCTGGAAAGCCGTCGGTTTTTTAAAAAGATCTTGGTAAATTTCCGACGAATTTCTGATGGATAGTTATCATTCCTCGGGTTTAAGGTTAATATACACATTTAACACGTTTTCTATAATCTGTTGGAAATCCCACGGTAATTTCCAAGGGACTTCCGACGGATTACCGATAATTTTGGTGTTTCATTCAAAGAATTATGAAATTTTATAACTTAACACATTCACAATCACTATTTCTGATGTTTTAAAACACTAACAATCAAATTAGATCCATTATGTTACTACAATTTAAGTTTTTCAAAATTTGTAATGGTTTCATCAAAAGTGTTTATATATATATACTTATAATGTTATTAAGAGTTTCATATTGTGAATGATATGAACTTTTTTTTAATTAAAAATTTGTTTAATTAATAAAATATATTTAAAGCTTAATGATACACTAATGTTAATAGTAATTAGGTAACAATGAAAATTTTAAATTACCTTTGAATTTTAAACTATGAAACCCCAAACCCGTTGGAAATCCGTCGGTAATTTCCAAGAGATTTCCGACGGTTTCGAGGTTTCATATGTCCGATTGTTTCCGTTGGAAATCCGTCGGAAATGACATAAAAAATATTTGATTTTTGACGTCCGTTGGAAATCCGTCGGAGACTTCCAAGGGATTTCCGACGGACATCAAAATTTTACCCGCCAACAATTCCCAAAAAATTTAGGTTTTCGCGGCATTTATTATTAAATTATTTTTTACCATTTCCGACGGAATATGTCATTGGAAATCCGTTGGAAATGTCGTGATATATATAAACCCTCTTCTTCTTCCCCAATCCGCCGAACACAATTTTTCACCATAAATTTTTTTTTTCCGATTCTCTGAGTTTCTCCCTTCGTTTTTACCAGAATTCATCACCAAATCACTCAACAATGTAAGTTTTTCATCCTTAACTAATCTATATCATGTTTATATTAGAATTTAGGTTTTGTAATGTGAATTTGATAATTTAGGTGGTTAGATAGGAATTGAATCCCAAAAGTTACATGTTTGTGTTGAAATAAGTTAGATTAAGTGATTGTTATGTTAGATTAGGAGATATTTGTGGGTTTTTAACAATTTTATAGAATTGGGTTGAATTTTAATTTTATTTAAATTAAAATAATTTCAGATTAATTGTTATTAGTATGGATCTATTCTTATATTTATATTTGTTGGTTTTATTAGTGTATCAACGAATTTTAAAATAGTTTAGATATATTTTTGTTGAATTGTTTTTAATTTTGGTATTTTTTAAAGATTTTCTAAAAAATGCTAATGTAGATTTTTTATGCATTTAAAAAAAATCAAATAAATTTAGGTAAATGATATTTGAATCTTTATAATTTGTATTCTGCTATTTAGAGATATTTTAAAATTACAACTTTTTAACTTATATATATATATATATATATATATATATATATTCTTTAAGGGATTATGGATGATATTTTTGTTGAATTGTTTTTAAATTTAGTATGTGTACGGTTTTCTTTGAAATATTGGTATAGAGTCACATCATCATCGCAATTCTGTATCCGCGATCCCGAACTCGAGAAAGCCCTTCAAGAGAAAGACGACCGTATCGAAGCACTTGAAAAGCTAATGGGAGAGGAGAAAGAAGACAAGAAACGGAGAGACGTGGAACTTGTAAATTTTATGAAAGAGATGCATGCTAAATTTCCCCCGAGTTATTAGATGTTTTCTAATTATTTTTACATTTTTTTTCTTTTATGGACCATTTCTTTTATTTTATTTTATGAACAATTGGTGTTTTTTGGATTTTAAATTTATGATTTCTAATAATATTTTTTTTTTATAACTTCTGATTTCTAATAATATTATTTATTATTTTTGATTATCAATTCAAAAAAAATAAAAAAAAATAAAAAAATTAAATATCCGGTCGAAAACTCTGTAGGAAATGACGGACCGTTTTGTTTCGGGAATCCGTCGGAAATATCCGTCGAAAAGTTCTCAGTAAATCGTCGGTGTATTTTCCGACGTCTAACCGATGGACAGAACCGACGGTTTTACCGACGACCATACCGATGGATGATTCCGTTGCAAAGTCCGTCGGAAATATGGCCGTCGGGAATCCGTTGGAAATTTCTAACGGATTTCCGACGAATAATTTTTTCCGACGCTCTAGAACCGACGGACGGAGTTCGTTGATAATTCGTCGGGAATCCGTTGAAATATGGCCGTCGGGAATCCGTTGGAAATTTCTAACGGATTTCCGACGAATAATTTTTTCCGACGCACTAGAACCGACGGACGGAGTTCGTTGATAATTCGTCGGTTAAGGCCCTTTCCGACGGATTACAGACGGAAATGTCCGTTGCTTTACGGCTGTTTTCTTGTATAAGCCCCATTGTTCTGTTCTTGTAACATTCTTCTTATTGATTAATAGGATTCTATTGACCACAAGGTTGACTCTATTAAACTAGAGGTCGATTATGTGAAAGCAAAAATGGACTCTTTGGATGGGAAATTTGATTCACAGTTTGCTGCGTTACATGCCCTTTTCAACGCAAAGAAAATAAAATCACTTCTTTGTTCCAAACCATCCTTAAGCTCACAAAGTGTCCATCCCTTGTTGAAATTAATGAAATTAAATTTGAGAAATTTTTAAATTTCATATAAGTTACGGTTCTTTAAAAAGAGGAAAAAACAAAAAGTTTGGGGATAATTGGGGATTGTAGTTTCATTAGATGAAATAGGGTGCATTGAGTAGATTTAAAAGACTAGCAAGTTTGATGATGTTTCTCTTTTGATTCAAGGCTTTAAATGTTGAAAATGTGTGCCTTGACTTGTGTAATTGGATTGGTAGCTAGGAATGAGTGTTTTTGATACTTGAGTTCTGGTGTAGATTCATACTTTGTTGAACACTTTGTGAGCTTAAGGATGGTTTGTGGCTCACCATGAGCCTTACTAACTTTTTCCAAAAGTGATCATCATTTATCTTGTAGATTATCAATAAAGTGAGCATTTAAATGCATGCAAATTTATACAAACTACTATCTAAAATCAATGAAAAAAAAAAAACTCATCATGAATGAACAATAATTGAAAATGACATTTGGAAACAAAAATATATTTTATTTTTTCGCTAAATATTTGGTTTTATATTAAAGTTGGACGATTAGATAAGAGTGTTTTAACGACATCTAGATTCGGATTGAACATTTCCGGTAGAACATACCGGAATGAGGTTTGTAGATAATTATGCTAACACGTGTGAGCATATCAGCTTGTATGATTGCCACATTACCATGAGAGCTTCCAACATGATAAAGCAAAAAAAAACTTAGAACGGAAAGAACAAGAAAAACCATTGTGAAGCAAAGTCCTTCATGCATGGATTCAATCAACAAGATCATCAACTTTGTGTTTCCTCTTTTAACCTTGTATGCACTTCTTGTCTTCTATCCAACTTACCAGAGGGTCAAATCTGCGTTCTCCATCTACCGAAATCTGTTCTCGGAAAATGTCGCCGGAAAAGTTGTTCTCATCACCGGAGCAGCTTCCGGCATCGGCGAGGTAAGTCAAGTACTCAACAAACAAACAAACAAAAAATGATAATTAGGGTTAAGTAAAAGTGGGTGTATAGGCTTTAGCGTATGAGTACGGGAAGAGAGGAGCGTACTTAGCACTTGTTGACATAAGAGACGAAGCTCTCTTCCATGTCGCGGCTCTAGCTGAGCTCTATGGCTCCCCTGAAGTCATCCCCATCGTCGCCGATGTTTCCAAACTAGAAGATTGCGAGCGTTTTATCCGAGCCACGGTTCTTCATTTTGGCCGATGTAAGTCAATAAGTATAATGACATTCTAAATGGTTTGTTTGCATTACAATTTATGAGATAATCTTTTTTTCGTTTTTGCAATTGAAACTATAATCTATTGTGTATCGACGTTGTATCTCCGGGACGTAACGAACGTGAACTTGGATAGAGATTGAATCGCGCACGAGAGCACTTTCCTTAAAGAGTATTTCGACCCTTCTCAAGCCTTGGGTTACACGAAATCCCTTCTAGGATAAGACAATCAAAGTTCTCTCTTGTTCTAGGCTAAGACACAAGAGAAACAAATAGAGCTTTTGTGTTTTGTTTTTGTGTTTTGCACTAAAGATTAAGACAATCTTTAGTCTCGTGAATCTCTCTTTTCTCCTCTTCTTATCTCTCTTTGACACAAGAGAAACAAAGTTTATATATGGTTCAAAAGTTGTGACGTACGTTTGCAACCGTACGTTTAAATAATAACCATAAATTGAATAGTTGCAATGGTTAATTTAATAACCGTCGGTTTACACTTAAATTTATAACATTCCTCCCCCATTTAAGTGTAATCTTTGATTCACAAAATTAACAACACATAAATCAAACTCATGCATAAATGTAAATATCGTAACGATTGAATTTACATCTTAGTGATATTACACATTCCAAATGCTCGAGAATCAAGATGTCCTACGGATTGAATCCTTCAACTCATTTTGAGCACATGAAGATAATACACACACGAATTCACTCACTACTCTAAGTGTTTATCCTTGACACTATTATAAGCCATGTGTCCTTATCCTTTCATGAGTGTGTACAAAGCCAAGTCCGAGCTTCTTGAAGCGGCTACACTTCACACCCATATAGGTAGATCTTTTAATCTTGCACCTGCAAAATGCAATTTTTCAAAAGATCTATTAAGAAGAAAACTTCAACCTAACCTTTTCTTGCAGATCTAAGCACTTACTTTGGGATGATTTAAACTAGTGCTTCAATCTCTAAGTGTGGGCTTTCCGCATTGAATTCAGCCTCTAACGTTGTATTAGAGGGGAATTGGGTATCCCACCATTAGAGATTTCAAATGGACTTTAATCCCATCCCTTTAGCCGACTTGATCACCAAGTCTCTAGCTAGTCCTTTTGTCAAGTGATCCGCTAGATTTTGCTCAGACCGAATAAATCCTATAGTAATCACCCCATGAGTGATCAGCTCACGTATCCCGCTATGTCTCAAGCCTAGGTGTCGCGACTTACCGTTATACACTTGGCTATAAGCTTTAGCCAAAGTAGCTTTACTATCGCAATGGATAGAAATGGGTGACACCGGTTTCGGCCACAATGGAATCTCGGAGACTAAGTTTCTTAACCATTCCGCCTCTCTCCCTGCAGCGTCTAACGCTACAAATTCCGATTCCATAGTAGAATTTGTAATACAAGTTTGTTTCTTTGATGCCCATGAAATGGCACCTCCCCCAAGTAGGAACACCCAACCACTTGTAGAAGAATGATTTTCCTCGTTGGTGTTCCAACTTGCATCCGAATATCCTTCTAAGACCGAAGGAAATCCAAAATATGACAAACCATAATTTATGGTTCCTTTCAAGTACTTGAGCACCCGCCTTACAGCTTGCCAATGATGAGTACTAGGATTACTAGTATATCTACTCAACTTTCCTACCGCATAAGCTATATCCGGTCTAGTGCTAGTCATGGCATACATTAAGCAACCAATTACTCGTGAATACTCGAGTTGTGATACCGCTTGTCCCGTATTAGGCATAAGCTTCACGCTCGCATCCATGGGAGTGCTCACGGGAGAACAATTTTCATAATTGAACTTTTTAAGCACTTTCTCAATGTAATGAGATTGAGTTAAAGATATTCCTTTGTTCTCACGCTTGATTCGAATTCCAAGAATCACCTCCACCTCCCCCATGTCTTTCATGGCAAAATTTGATGATAAGAACTCCTTTGTAAGTTCTACTTGTCTAAGGTTGGTACCAAAGATCAACATGTCATCAACATATAAACAAATGATCACTCCATTACCGGAATCATCAAATTTGCTATACAAACACTTGTTCGACTGATTTAATTTAAACCCATTTGACAAGACAGCCTCGTCAAACCTTTGATGCCACTGTTTAGGTGCTTGCTTTAGACCATATAATGACTTTACCAACTTACACACCTTATGTTCATTACCAAGCATAACAAACCCTTCTGGTTGTTTCATATACACCTCTTCTTCCAAGACGCCATTTAAGAATGCCGTCTTGACATCCATTTGGTGGATCACAAGGTTATGAATGGATGCCAAACCAATTAATAACCTTATAGAGGAGATCCTAACAACCGGAGCATATGTATCAAAATAATCAATGCCTTCCTTTTGTCTAAAACCATGAACAACCAACCGAGCCTTAAATTTGTCGATCGTTCCATCGACTTTCATCTTCTTCTTGAAGATCCATTTGCATCCTAAAGGCTTGCAACCGGGTGGAAGATCCGTTAAGAACCACGTATTATTTCCCATGATGGAATCCATTTCATCATTTACGGCTTCTTTCCAAAAAATAACGTCATTAGACGTCATAGCCTCACTAAAAGTTCTAGGTTCATCATCAATATGATAACAATATGAGTATTGGAAACCAATCTCATCTCTTGACCCTTCAACTAAGTAAAGTTGAAAATCGGGACCGAAAGATTTTTCGATTCTCCCTCGTTTACTCTTACGAAGCGTAGGTGACTCGTTAGGAGGAACGAACATGTCGTCTCTTTCCTTTGTTCCACTTGAACTAGGAACTAAATCCTTTGGTCTAGGTATCGACGAGAAACGATTCTCATCAAATATTGCATCTCTTGACTCAATTACGGTGTGAACCGCTATAGAATCATTAGGTTCTATTACATAAAACCTATATGACTTGGAATGCAAGGCATAACCAATGAAGATGCAATCAATACCTCTTTCTCCCAAAGTCTTAATCTTTGGTTGGGGTAATCTAACGATCGCCCTACAGCCCCAAACTCGAAGATAGTTCAAGTTTGGTTTCTTTTTATACCAAAGTTCATATGGAGTAACTTTGTTCCTTTTGTTGGGAACTCTATTTAATAAATAACAAGCCGTTAACATGGCTTCACCCCAAAGTCCGTCACTTAATCCCGAGTAAGATAACATGGAATTAACCATTTCTTTTAGAACTCTATTTTTCCTCTCGGATATACCATTTTGTTGTGGCGTATACGGAGCCGTAGTCTCATGTATTATGCCCACAGACTGAAAATACGTAGGATCATAATACTCCCCACCTCTATCGGTGCGTAACTTCTTAACCAAGTCACTATGTTGTAATTCAACCTCGGTTTTATAAACCTTGAATTTATCTAAGGCCTCATCTTTAGCATGTAATAAATACACATAACAAAAACGAGAATAATCATCTATGAACGTGATGAAATATTTCTTGTTTCCTAAAGATGGTGTAGCATGTAAGTCACATAAGTCACTATGAATGAGTTCAAGCACCTTTGAATTTCTTTCAATGCTTTTAAAAGGTTGTCTAATTATCTTAGTCAACATGCATGTTCTACACTTCTCTATATTCACGTCAAAAGTAGGAATTAATCCTTCTTTAGACATATCAATCATTCTTTTATAATGCACGTGGCCTAATCTTGCATGCCATAAAGAAGTATCATTTTTGCTAGAACATGCCATGTAAATAGAATTGACAACTTTATTAATATTAAGCATAAACATGCCATTACAAAAGTATCCAAATCCAACAAAGATACCACACTTAGATAAGACATACTTGTCTGACTCATACACTTGTTTAAATCCACACTTATTTAAAACACTACCGGAGACTAAGTTTTTCCTAATTCCGGGTACATGAATTACATCATTAAGATCAAGAGTTTTCCCGGAACTAAACTTTAACACCACTTTTCCACGACCTAGGATAGGAGCGGTTGACTCGTTGCCCATATAAAGTACGGATCCATCTTGAACCGGCTCGTACGTCTTGAACCAGCCACGATCCTTGCAAACATGTATTGTTGCACCCGAGTCAATCCACCATGCCACCTCATCATCCTGCACATAGAATGCCTCAGCTATTTTTGATACATAATACACTTTTGAGTATGAATCAAAAACAGAATTCTGACCTTGATGAGAGGATGGGCCTTGATCCTTAGACCCTTGCCCAAAACGGTTTTGTTGCGTTTTATTCTTATCCTTTGCTGCCCGACAATCACGTTTGAAGTGACCCGGCTTGTTACAAATCCAACAAACGCTCTTGAATCGTTTGTTAGATCCATCATTGGTGTTGTTAGTAAAGGGGCGCTTCTTCCCCTTGTTCTTTATTTTAGAACTCCCACTCTCCTCCATCATATTGATTGAAGAAGTTTCAGCCTCCTTATCTTTGGGTTTTCCACCCTCTTGAACCCTTAGAGATTCCTCTATGCGCAAATGGCTACCAAGTTGTACAAGAGACAACTCTTCCTTTTTGTGTTTTAACATGCGCCTAAAATCTTTCCACGAAGGCGGCAACTTGTCGATGATACACGACACCGAGATGGATTCATCCATCTTCATGTTGTGTTGAGCGAATTGGCCTAGGATGCGAAGTAATTCATTGTATTGCTCCATTACCGGCCTTGAATCGGACATCTTGTAATTATTAAAATCACTCACAAGGAATTTCTTACTAGAAGCATCCTCGGCCATGTACTTCGATTCCAACGCATCCCATAGTTCCTTTGCGGATTCGACATTTTGATAGACATCAAAGAGAGAATCAGACATACCGTTGAGAATGTGGCCACGACATATGTAGTCATCGTTTTCCCACTTAAGTTGCTTCCTTGTCTCCTCCACGGACTCGTTCTCACCATTCTCCGACACGGTGGGCATTGGCACACTTAGAACGTGAACCACATTGAGCGTTGTGAGGAGAAAGTGCATCTTCTTTTGCCATCTTCTAAAATCAACTCCTTCAAACTTATCCAATTTGCCAAACTTTGACGTCATCTCACGCACAGAAACATTAGCCATTGTTCACCGTTCATACTCTTTAAGATTGTTGTGTATAGACGTTGTATCTCCGGGACGTAACGAACGTGAACTTGGATAGAGATTGAATCGCGCACGAGAGCACTTTCCTTAAAGAGTATTTCGACCCTTCTCAAGCCTTGGGTTACACGAAATCCCTTCTAGGATAAGACAATCAAAGTTCTCTCTTGTTCTAGGCTAAGACACAAGAGAAACAAATAGAGCTTTTTGTGTTTTGTTTTTGTGTTTTGCACTAAAGATTAAGACAATCTTTAGTCTCGTGAATCTCTCTTTTCTCCTCTTCTTATTTCTCTTTGACACAAGAGAAACAAAGTTTATATATGGTTCAAAAATTGTGACGTACGTTTGCAACCGTACGTTTAAATAATAACCATAAATTGAATAGTTGCAATGGTTAATTTAATAACCGTCGGTTTACACTTAAATTTATAACAAAAGCCTACTCTCTCAAATAAAAGATCAATTGCAACACTTAATGGTCGAATTCCACAAAGTTCTTTTGTTCACATAATAAGTTATAAGTCTCGAAATTAGGCTAAATAAAATAATAAGAATTAAAATAAAACAAAAGCAAGCAATGATTTCATGTGAAAAGATCAATAGATTAAAGCGTCAAGTTTAGGGAATTTCTCAGGAATTAAACTAATAGTAAATCTAGTAAATTAATTAGGATTATTTAACGAACCGTTCTAGAACTCAAAACACTAATGAATAGCTAACCACCTCTCGATGCGCTAACTAACTAATCTAATATCAGTAATTCCACATCTCGATGCGAATTCCTAGATCTAGACTAGCATTAAACTCAAGTTTGATATGTTCACAAATTCTCCTAGACTAACTCTCGATGCATCTAGAAATATTTGCTCATCTAAGGTAGTTCCAGTAACTGGTGCCCTCTCGGATCAATACCTATTATCCTATGATCAAGTTCTAGTTAGCTACTCTAGAACTAGCATTAAGAACAACCTAGATGAAGAACTCTATGGATTAATCCTAACAGGTAATCGATTTACTAGTTCATCTAAATCCCTAATGAGAATCCCTAAACCTAACAGAGAGATTACTCAGACATGATTAATGAAACAGAAAACATGTTGAAAAAATTGCAGAATAAGAAATTAAAAGAAGAAAAGAGTTTATAATAAATTTTCTCTCTAACAGGGTATTGAAATCTTGAAAGTAGTTCTCTCCAATTATATTACAAAGGGTTCAAGCTCAGAGAATTACAAAAGCCAAATATAAGATAATGAAATAGAAAGTCTCAAAAACTTGCAGAGACTAAATTTGCAAATATGAAAGTCTTCTGGATAAATTCTGCGGGCTTTAAAACTCTAAACCGTCGAGACTTCTTGATGGGCCGTGTTTGGTGTCGAGCGACACCAAGGGTGTCGGTCGACACTCATGCCTTGGTTCGAACCGAATTCGTCTCCTCAGCTTCAAATCTTCTGTTTAGCTCCAGAATGATTCATTTTCTCCGATTTCGTTCCGAACGTGTAAAAACCTGAAAAGACTCGAAAAGACACTAGAAAGAACAAAAAGATTTTAAAACTGACACGTAAATCACGGTTAAAAACCGGTAAAATCCGTGATATATCACTCTAAGTATATTAGTAATATCGATGTTTCACTCTTTCTCTTTTGTGTGTTTTAAGTTTTAACAAAACTATACAACGTTGGATAGCCATAGTGGAATTGGCCAGCTTGACATGATTAATACTTTATATCCTGTTTGGGTTACACTTATACACTCCATTTGTTACATTTACACTGGACATATATTACTCAATTAATGAAAAAATGTATTTAACTAATATTTTATATTGGCTAAAATGTTTTGACATTGATTGAAAGTCATATTATAAATAAGACCAAAATGAATCCAAATCTGAATGAACATGAAGCTTAACTTAATAAGTATTCAAATTTAAAAGGTTGTATACGGTTTAATTCGGTTATTTAGTTGAATGGTTTAACTACCAGATATAGTAAATTTTTAAATACTATAATTTACACTTAATAAAAGGCTTAAAATATCATGAATATTTAAACATATAAAAAGTTTAAAATAACAAGGAACCAATTATATTGCGAGATAGTTTATACGGCAGGACGGGTTTGAATCATTAATAAAAATTGAAAATATCATTAAATTGATGTTTTAGTACGAATTAAATTTTTTTTTATTATTTTGTGAATACTACCAATATTATATATCTCGAATCAAACTAATTTAACTAAGATTGTGTGAAACAAAAACCGTCTCGTAGTATACCGCGCGCATATTAAGTTTTAATATTTGCTATGGTTGCACGAAAAGTACATGTAAGATTTTTTCTCCAAAAACTCAATTATGAGTCACAGACGTTGCATGATTCACCATAATTTGGAAAGAACTAAGATAATAAACAAAAAAAATTACATACTTTAATACACACTTGGTATGAACCACACCAACTGCTTACATCATTTTCAACTTTTCATATGAGCCACAATTCTTTCTTTGCCGCCTCTTTGACGCAAAATTTTACTATTTTCAATCGGATACAAACCAAATTAAAGTCGTCATAGATATAATTAATTAATATGATTCGTAATTTCCTATAGATATATAACTAATAGGATGCTTACCATTTACTCATTTGAATAATTCAAGTACTCACTTAGTAGACGGGCGATGGTGCGTGCCTCTTAGAATCATGTAAGGAAATTAACAACTCTTTTCGTTTCATTATATGCGTCTTTTCAAAAAAGAATCGCACATATTAAAAGGTTATTATATGTAAGATACATTTTCTTAATAAATATACCTCTTATTGAAGTCTCGATTACTTTTTCCTTTGATAATAATATTGTATTTACATAGATAAAGGTGAATATTTTATTTATATTTATATTGGAAATAATAAATAATAAAAAAGAACTCGATTTTTAAGGCTACAACTAAGTTACATCAAAAACAATTACTAAGTTACATTTAAAAAAAAAATTAAAAACCAGTTCTTTTTTTTTTAAATGTAACTTACTAAATTTTAATTCTTTTATAATTTTTATTATAAAAGTTCTGTACATTGACTCTTTAATTCTGATTTGAATTCGATACAATTGTTGGCTGGAAAAAAAGAAGAAGTAAATTTTAACTCTTTTAGACATCTCTTTAATTCATCGTCTCACTCATCCAAAACCTCTAATAAATGTACATATATGTATATTAAGATACAAATCATAAATCAAAGTATATTAAGATACAAACCATATATCAATAATAACAATGTGTCAAATATGATATAAGCCGACATCAAAATATTTGAAAGTAATTCAAGCTAATTGTTTCAAATTTAGGAACAAGTGAGAGGGTTTTCTTTCACATTTCCACTCATAATGCCAAAAAAAAAAAGTATATGATAATGTTATGAACAAGAACTTAGATATATAAAAAGAAGAAAAAATTCAAAATCTATTCAACTTGAACAAAGATGGAGATCGAAGAAGCTTGTATGAGCCGTTCCGTTTCATGGCCATACCACCACCACCGTATGATCTATATGGACTACAGATGAATCCGCAAACCGGAGAATTAGTGAAACCATCATCATCATCATCATAATCATCACCATCATGATGACCATGATTAGACTTCATATCCGCCAAAGTTTTGAAGAAGAAGTCAACCTCACAAGGAAGAACAATGGGTCCATCGCGTCTATATCCATACTCGGTCTCAGCATCTTCTAACAAGTTCTTGAACAAAGGATGGTTCAGAAGTTTCGTCTTCACGACAATTCTCTGTTTCGTGGGACCAACGTAAACCGTGAAAAATCCATGTGACGGCAACTCTTTCTTCGACTTTGCTTTTGATTCATTGCTCTTAGCATCTTCGAGACGAAAAGAGCCATGGCAAGATTTGCTCCTCGTGAACGAGGGTGTAGTCGAAGAGCTCGTATGCCCAAAAGACTTCACTTTTCTCCATGTCTTCAATATCGGATTCTTCATTATTCCTATGAGAAGATGATGTATATTAAAAAAAATTCTTCTCAATGACAGAATCAAGAAGTGTTTGTGGGTCAGACAAGTTTTGGTTGACCGTTTGGTTTTTTATTTTTGGTCTAATAATATATCGGCTTCTTCAATCTTTCTTATATATAGAAGATCTTGATTGGGAAAGAAGAGATAGCCAGATAGGGTTTACTTTGATGACATTGACAAATTGATGAGGGCAGGCTTAACTTTTGAATATACCCCCATACTTCACCATATATGCACTCACGCTCTAATAATTGAGTTTGTTTATAATAGATTCCGATAATCTTAGTTATCTCCAATATATTTCTTATTAAACAATGATTTTTTTTTACATCACTTCATAAAAAAAATATATCTTTCAAGCAAATTATTGGGAATTTGGTATGTTTGTTTTATTCAAGTTGGTCAACGGAAATTGTTTAAGTCGCCTTTCAAGACGAATACTACCTGATTTTCCATTAAAACATACGTATTTCAATTTGTTTTTAACTGCCAGAACACACGTCCTCTCTTCAGCTGGATTTCCTTTTTTAATATTTTAGCATTTCAATGGAATTTTAAATGGTTTTGAATGATTCTAAAAGAATCCGAAGACAATTTTTGTTAATTTGAAGGATTATATTGCTATATAGACTTGGATAGATTATATAGCATTTATTTTCTTCATAATCTATAAAAAAAATTATGGTCAAATAATTACTCTGCTCTTTTTTTTTGGCAGATCAAAGTTTTTTGTTGTTGACGTTAACATTCGACCTTGCTTGTATATATATATAGTCCAAATTTTAAAATCAGTAATTAAATAAGTCGACGAGACAATAAGGAGACAAGTTTTCCACATTTTCCACGAAGTGCATCTCTCCTTTTAATTAGAATAAAATCGGTACAAGGAAACTAACCTATTAGATACAATCCATTTATACATTAATAATTTAATACATATAAACCTATAATAGATGAAAATTAACTTTCTGAAAACCGAGAAGTAAGATTACCGAAAGAAGGGTTTTTTTTTTTTTTTTGGTTGTCGACTACCTTAACTAGGTTATAATTAGAGAGTCTGAGACTCCTATTAGAGAAGAGCGACCCTGAAACTTTACGGAATTGTGCCCCTGAAAGGATTAACATTCAAGACCAACAACTAAAAAAAAAAAAAAAAAAAAAAAAAAAAAAAAAAAAATTACAAACAATTCACAACATATTATACCGAAAACTATTATTAAAACCTACCAATTTAAAAAAAAAAACCATTAATTAAAAGGCTAAAGAAAAAAACAAAACCTCACACGTGTACGTTAGGAACATGAAGTGCATCTCTTTTGTCGTCATGAACTGCATCTCTAAAGACAGAAAAAGTCAATATGTGACGACAAATAATCGTTTTTGCATTTTTAAAGTTTAATTTAATTTAGATAGATAATATCAAGAGGAAAACAACAGTTATTGCTGTAGAAAGCCTTCCTCATATTACAGCTACCCGAGAAAGACACTCCCAGGGGCGGCAATAACAAGAAGTATAGTTGAGATAAAGTTTTATATCTCCTTAAGGTTTTTTGATAGATAATGGCAAAATATAATGCTTATTTTAGAATAGATAGATATAGCTAATTAGAGTTCCAACGAATTTAAATGCGGAGACTTGGAGTAGTTGGTGGTGGTGCAAGTTATAAACAACATTATTGAGGAAATTCGATTCCTCTCCCATGCGTATGATTAAGTGGCCTAGTGGGTCAAAACCATAGGCCCAGTTTTTTTTAAAAGTTCGTCTTATTTAAAAGCAACCCAATCCGATATATTTTGACTTTTTTCTTAGGTGAAAAATTGAAGCTTATGAATTATTTATTAGAGATCATTTCACGATCTAGTAGTATTTGGAGTGGACCATGATTTGGAGGGAATTTACTTGTATCTTTAGTGGGTGTATTGACTTTATTTTAGTGGATTTAAATGGTCACGATAGGTATCTTCCAAAAGTGTTTTGACATGGTTAGTGTTTTAGGGATCACCCAACGAGGTAGGACTTACAATTTGATAGTACATATCGACTGTCACACTATTTATTTTTTTAAATGGCATTTTCGTGTTTAGATTCGGCGTCTTGAGACGTGGCTCTCCTTTGTCATGGGTAGGTATGCCAATGCGTAGCTCTAGTTTTTGGCCACAGAATCTTGTCATTGCCTTGTGCTTCAAACGATCAACACATTTTAAGTGCTTGGGGATTGGGGTTATCTGCATGACTATGGTTTTTAAATGCTATATTCGTTAGGATTTCGAGAGTGGATGGCCTTTTTGCGGGAAATTCTAGGAGAGTCACTATGGTACGCGTTAACAACATGTTGTGATTTTTGAAAATTTGAAAATTATCCCTAAAAGGTACAGACTTTTGGTTGTTTCAAATGTAACAATCATTGCATAAAAGAAATTTATAATACAACTCATGTCGTATCCAATCTTTTTTCATTCGAACTTGCGTATTTAATTTTGAGAAATGAACAAACATCTGTATCGTACGTAGAGATATGAACATCCTCATATTACCTAATAACTTTAGTGAAAAAAAAATATAACTTTAGTAAATATTCTTATTCCTTCCAATCACGCTTTTTATACATGCCAAATTATTACATAATCACCAACACTTCCAAAATGGAGAAAATAAATACAATATCAAATAATAAACTCACAACATACTTATTCATTTAGCAACAAGAGCTTCACTCATTATCTTCATCACTTGGCCTTGACTTCTTTGCCATCGCTCTGCGTCTTCTTAACCGGCGGGTTAAGCTCCTACGAACGCCTCATTCTTAACCGGCGGGTTAAGCTCCTCCCACGCCTCAATCCAAGTGACCATTGCATCTGCCAATTTCTCAAAGTAAGGATCCACTTTAGTAAGCTTTTCTTTTGTCATCTTCGAAATTTCCATATAGCATTTAGCTGCAGTGTCAGATTCTTTCGAGAGACAAAGGTTTTGGAAGAAAGGAACCATATCTTCTTGCCAGTGGAGTCCCTTATGCTCTTTCTTCAGGTTCACGAACGGGTTACTGGCTTTGCTGTGCCACAGATACGGCAACCCAGTCTTGACCCCAAAGCCTAACTGGTCACACACCACCTTGGCTGCCCAACCAGCCCACATGTCATCGTACCGAGAAATGGGCTGGCCTTCACCCATAAGGCCAAAGTACATAGCAGGCCCAACAAGCTCTCTATTGAAAGCAAGATTCATGCCACACATTGGGTACAATACTCCTTTTGGGATTGTCATCACTGCATCAACATACCTGCAAAGGCTATTATATTATAGCATTTATATGCATATTGAAAATACCAAAACAAATATCCTCCTAACAGTTTCTTGGAAAAAAACATTCATTGTATAAAAATAATTATTTGCTTTAATATCAACCACAAAATCCATGGAAAACCAATATCAAACAGAACTGAATGTTTTTTGAATATTGAATTGTTAAAATATGTTTAGACTTGAATAATGAATAAAAGGAATCACAAGTTGAATAAATCTAAATCCTCTGATAATTAGTATGCAAACTATATTATAACCTCGTGTTCCGTTCCCGGGGCTTCACGAGTTGGGTTGGAGCATCGTAATCAGGGATGTTGAGCCAAAGCCCATGAGATATGGCAGTTTGGACACCTTCCCTTAAACTGAAAGGATACCCTCTGACGAAATCAGTTCCTTCTCTAAAAGGGTCATAGAGAGTGTTAAAGTAGTGTGGTGTTGAAGGTGTTTCAAGGTTCTTTATGTGCTGAGCTATCACATTGATCTCTTTCCCACTTGGATCCTTTGCCACCTTTTCTTACGTTTTCAAGAAAAAAAATGCATGGAGTTGCATGAATTATACATGAAAACGTGTTAAGGAGAGTAATGCAAAAGAGCCTTACAAAGCAATCATCATCAATGGTGTAGATATACTTCTTTTTCGAAACCATGAAGCCGAAGCAACGACAACCACCATCTTTGTATGAGATACAATTAGCTCTAGGACCAAGGATCCTGTTGATATCATTACGGTTGTAGAGCTCGTAGTCATAACCCTCGGGAACTTTAATCTTGATCGAAGGGTCTCCATCTTGGACAATGATCAAGTGGTAATGCTGCAAAAATGGTCTCCATTGTTCTAGAAAGTCGAGGCTTCTGATGGTTGGGATCACAATATCCACATCGTCCTTCAAAGGTGCCGCTTTGATACCTTCGAGGTTGTAGCCCGCCATTTTTTGGTACTTAGAGAGTTAAATAGATGTGTATAAGATGATTGTTTTCGAGGGGGATGACTTGGGATTTATATAACGGTTCTCAAACTCCTTCATTAATTTCGTTAAAGAAATGAAAGGATCAACTAGATTTTTTTCATATCGTAGTTGTTAGAATATTGCGATCACTAGGAATTATATAGGTTAACTTTCGTAATCGACTAGTGAAAGACTCTCATTTCAAATGCTCTATTTTATAAAAAGAATCCCACTTTTTGTCCCATTGCTTAAAAAGCGTAGATGTTTATACTGAACATATACCATTAACCAAAAACAATAGGCATACACTACCTAACTTCCTAATTAGTAGCTTATACGAAACATTCTTTCGATAAACCAACAAAAGAATTATTGTACCTGTACTAGTTAATAAAATAAAAAATAAAGATATTTAGATACTAGCTACTTTGGAATTTCATAATTAATTGGAACAACAATAGCTTGATGGACCAGTCAATTGATTCGTTGAACGATTGTTGAACAACTGGTTCATCATGTCATATGTTTGCAATTACTTTTGACACTAGAGAGAAGAAATCTTCTTGTAAATTGATCTATAGACATCTCACATATTTGTTTGCATCCGTTTTCAGTCAGTTTTATGTCTCTTTTTGTAATGAAAATTTTCTATGTTAGAGATCGGTATTTTAATATATTCAAAATCTATTTCTTTTTTTTTTTGGACAAACTAACTTGCTTTCATTCATTCAAACAAGAACAAGTACAAAGAGAAGAGTTTAAGAAACCCAATGTTTAAAACATTACAACAAAAATATTCCCCAATGCCACAAAAAGAAAGATAAGGTTCATCGATTTTAAATCCATAAGAGCTTTGAGACAAGGGCTTGGAAGCGCATTGAAACCTGTGAGATCATGGTGAATCGAGAGATCATCCTCGAAGGATTCGAAGGACGAGAGATTGGTCACGGTCAAAAGATGTTGTGACGTTGACGAATGAATCAATGTTATGATTCGCAGCGGAGCGAGCTGCACTACCCATGGTAGCACAAAGACAAGGATTCGAGAGATTATGGTGCTATAGTCGATTGCAGATAGCTTTAAAACCAAAAGCGAATGGTTTAGATCTCTCCGATAAATCGCGACATAAACTTTGTAGCATAGGATCTGGATGATAGAGATGGTGGTGAAAATACGATGCTTGAAAACGATAGATGAGCTGCTTAGTGAAAATAGGTCATTGAACAAAAGTAGTCCAGTACCACAAATAACACACCGGCAAAAACGTTTCGAGATAATTAGAACATAGGTCTTCAAGCCTTTGTAAGCATACCACAAGTTCCTAAGAACAACTAATACCAAGATTCGCACAAAATTTATGGAAAGCCAAAGAAACAATGGTGATAACTCTCTCACATGGAGTCCTCGACCACGGAGTAGAGGAGATCGACACAAACATTATATTGGGCTTAACATAGGAGTTGTGAAAACAGACTTGTGGAATCATATTACCAATTGATGAAAAAAGTGTGTGTTTAACGTTCCATATCGGCTCATTATATGTCTATTAACATTTTATTGGATTCATGTTAACATTTCTCTATGATTTAGGGAATGGGGAAGATGATTCTTATGTTTAAACAACATCGCATTCCTTGATGTACAAGCTCTCCAAATCATCCAAAAAAGAAGTAATCGAAGATGCTTTAGGTTGTGTGAAAATTACAAATATGGGATTTTATAAACTTGAGGGGTTCAATTTGAAGTTTCGTCGTCTGTTTGGTAATGGGCTTCGAGTAGAATAAACTGGGCCTGAAAATGCACCTTTGTATTTTCTTCTTCTTTTTTTTTTTTTTTTGGACAAACATACAATTTTCTTCTTCTGAATAGTAAAACCTTTATTACAATAAAAAGAATTTTTTTTGAAGGTCAATTGTGTAATGTCATATTTTGTTTTCTTTAATATTTATTGTTAGTATTATATTTTCAGCTTCTCAGTAAAAAAAGAAGCTATGCATCGCCTCTTGTTGGTCCGCGTACGTAGGCGGAGCTCTCTCTTAGCCCCGTCACTCTGTTAGCGCCTCATAAATATTCGAAATGTCGGCTATACAGTTTTTTTTTATCCTCCAATTTGAAGGTTAAATTATAGAACTCATAATATATATACACGTTAAGATATTTCTAATCATCTCAACGGGAAATTGAAGCTTTTTCTGACATTGAAAGAATATCATTTGTCATGGAGTGCAACGTGCCTCCTTATAAAATTCTTCCAAGTCTTTATAGTTTGTATCAAATAGTTTTTCCCCAAATACACCTCCATGTGAATTTCTACCTATTTTGTGTTCTGCCATTTGCAATTCAATATCTATATTAGTATTTTTAAGTACATTTTTAACGGGTGAATTAAATTATTATATGACAAATTTAGTATCCGACCCAATAAAAAATTTACTTCATAAATCTAGTTCATATTCTTTTTGGATAATGTCAAAACATATCCGAAATTATGAACCGGATATTCCATATTTAAAAATATAGATATTTAGAAGATATGGTTAAAATTTAGATATAAAATTCTCCTATCATCTTTGTTTGAACATTTTTTAGCTCTGTTGAATCGTCATATAATACATAAAGTTAAAAAAAATCTCAATTTTTTTCTGCATATATTGGGATTCAAAATTTTAAAACGGATATATATTACTCAATTGATGAAAAAGGTGTGTGTTTAACGTTCCATATCGGCTAAAATATTTAGATATTGATTCAGAATCATATTATAAACAAGATCAAAATGAATCCAAATCCGAATGAACAAGAAGCTCAACTCAATAAGCATCCAAATTTAAAATTAGATACTGTTTCATTCGGTTTTTAGTTTAATTGCTTAATTTTACCGAAAATGTTAAATTTTAAACTTTTAAAAAGTTTTCAATAGTATAATTCATATATTTAAAATCAATAAAAAGTTTATAATATTATGAGCAATTGAACATATAGAAAGAGTTGCAATAACACGAGACGAGTTATATTGGTAGACAAGGTTATATAATGGGACGAATCTTTAAGAAGTTTTAAATATTATATTTCATATATTTTAAATCAGTAAAAAAGTTTATAATATAAGAACATTTGAATATATATAAAGAGTTAAAATAACATGGGACGGTTATATTGTAGGACGAAGTTATATGATGAGGACGAGTTTGAATAAAAAAAAATTAAACATCATTAACCCGCTGCTTCAATACGGTTAAATTTTCATTTTATTACTTTTTAACATCACCAATATTAGACATATCAAATAATCTTGATTAAAGTAAATTGTACTATAAAACAAAAATTGTCTTGTGGTATACCGTTACTTAATAACAATTATAAAGTATAAAATATAAATGTCTTATAAAATGATATAATTTGCCAAAAAAAATAATATAATATAACCATTAAATTTTAAAAATTACTAATTTTAAAAACAAATCGTTCCGCGGTGCACTACGGGTTAAAATCTAGTATTTGTTAATTGTTGTACCAAATAGTAGAAAAATTATTAGAGGAATTTTTTTTTGTTGGCTGAGTAAAAAGATTTAAATTATATGCAAAATTAATATCAGGCTTAAGTGTAAAAGGATAAACCGTCTAAGGTAAATAGTGTACTTTGACTAGATCTTAGTAAGTCAAGTATTTGTTCCTCTCTCACGAGATTTTCGTGGTCAATTATAAGAGCTTTCGAAAATGACACAACGTCTAGAAATTTTGAACTCTTTCTTATTTGTGTTTCAAATTCCAACTTATAAATAACGTATCTTACCAAAAACAAATTAGTCTAAATCTCACCATTAGTAATTTATGTGAAGCAAAAACCATTCAAGTCTAGCATTAACAAACAAAAAAACATTTAAAGCAATGACAACAAAAACAAAATCTATGAATAATTGAATGGAAAAATAAAATAAAATAAAAATGTAAATAAGAAATTGGTAGTAAATGCGCTCTGTCTCTGTAGGGTAAAAGAAAAAAAAGAAATGTGATGTGTGTGTATATAAACAGATCTAAAGCACCAAAATCTGACGGTCCATAGAAAGAAAAAAAGCTTTAATATCTGTGCCACTAGAAACCCTCTCAAGTCTCAACACTGACACTAAATTCAATGGGAGATGTTAGTGTTTTTCAAACTTATTCAAATTTACACAGCCAAACACTATTATTGTCTATTGACCTCTCAAATTTATTTCTCCTTATTTTTGCCATTTTCAGGAAGATAAGAAAATGGAGGAGAAGAAAGCTGAAGAGCCCCAAGTGAAATCAGAAGATAAGAAACCAGCAGAAGAAGAGAAGAAGAAAGAGCCTCAAGAGATTGTGCTTAAGATTTTTATGCATTGTGAAGGTTGTGCTAAAAAAATCCATAGATGTCTTAAAGGCTTTGAAGGTACTATTTAATTATTTATCACATTCTTTTATTTATAACCATAAGAGTGTTTAGTACTTAGAAATTTTTTTAGCTAATTTTGGGATTATTGAAAATGTTGATAGGAGTGGAAGATGTAACTACTGATTGTAAAACTAGTAAAGTTGTGGTGAAAGGAGAGAAGGCAGATCCATTGAAAGTGTTGCAAAGATTGCAGAGGAAGAGTCACCGTCAAGTGGAGCTTATCTCACCAATTCCGGAGCCTAAACCAGTTTCCGATGTACCGGAGAAAAAGGAGAAGGAGAAACCTAAACCTGAGGAGAAAAAAGAAGAGGTATTTTGTAAAATGTGTAAGATTTTGGGGGTTAGATATGTAATTTGAAGAAAGTTTATTGGCTTTGTGTAATTAACAATAAGATTTTGTGGGCACTGAGAAAAAAAACAGGTAGTGACAGTGGTGCTGAGAGTTCACATGCATTGTGAAGCATGTGCCATGGAGATTCAAAAGAGAATCATGAGAATGAAAGGTTTGTATTTTTTTTTTTGTAACTTTTCTCATTTAAATTTTTGTTAAAATATTTCTGAATTGGGTACGATTTTTATTGATTCCGAATTTTAATTCTGAATTTGTGGGACTACACTTAATTGGGACATCAAGT